GGTTCAGTTAGATCTAAAAGGCATCCGTTCCGCTATATAAACCATAAAAGCATCCACCGAACTTGGTCCTGATGGAATTCCACCCATACTACTTAAGAATGGGGGCGATGACCTTTCCATACTCCGCTTGAAACTCTTCACACTCTCTATGGAGAAGGGACAATACCCATTGGCTTGGAAGCAATCTGTCATCACACCGCGCCATAAAGGTGGCTCCGTACAGGAAGTCAGCAACTACCGACCCATAAACCACACATCTATTCTCTCACGTGTGATGGAGAAATCGGTTAAGCGTGCGCTTATGGCCTGCTTGAATGCAGGAGGCCACGTTAGCAGGTCACAGCATGGTTTTCTAAGCGCACGATCCTGCGCAACCTGCCAGCTTGCTTTTCTCAACCTGGTCATTGGCGCGATTGATTCAGGTCTGGCGATTATTACACTATACCTCGATATGCAAAAGACGTTCGAGACGGTCCCCCATAAACGCCTATTACATAAGCTCAAGGCTTACGGTGTAGCCACCCCTCTGCTTGACTGGCTTAAATCCTACCTAACCGGGCGTACGCAGTCCGTGAAGGTAGCACACTTTGAGTCCATCGCTGTCACAGTTTCCAGCGGTGTTGTGCAAGGCAGCGTGCTTGGACCAACCCTGTTTTTGATTTATGTGAACGACATCTGTAGCAGCCTGCGCCATGGTCGCCCATTCCTCTTTGCCGACGATATAAAGGCCGTAATTGTCTTCCCACCAAGCGCCAAAGTATCCGCACTACAAGAGATTCGTTAAGACCTTAAGACCTTAGAGTCGTGGTGTCAAAATTGGCAAATGACATTCTCTGCTGATAAATCTAGTATTCTGACCCACAAATGCTCCATATCGGATGGTGCGTTTACGTTGAATGGTACGCCCATCCAACTCAAAGCGGTAGCTACTGTATTAGGTATTCGCTATTCTATGACCCTCAACTTTTCAGAGAACGTGCAGTATCAGGTAGCAAAAGCACGCAGAATGGTCTTCCACATAGGCCGCCACATTAACTCGGCTGAAGCACGGTTGGTGCTTTACCGCAGTCACGTTCGTCCGCAGCTGGAATCCTGCCCCTTCATCTTCAGTAATTTGCGGAAATCAGATCGCATATTGCTCGAAAAGGCTCAGCGGCGGTTTACCAAATTGGTAGCCCCACAAGGCCTAGCGCTTAGTTACCTGCAGAGGTGTAACCATCTCAAACTCCAGCCTCTATGGCTGAGGCGCATTATCTTAAACCTGTGTTTCTTACATAAGTTAATATACCAAGCGGTGCACAGTGATATCCCCAGCCTGACACAGCGAAGAGGAGCAGAATTCAACCTCCGAAACAAGCACTGCACAGTTGCCCCGCTGCCAGTGAGGAAGAAACTACGTTCACGTTTCTTCCTTGTCGCTTATGTAAATATCTGGAACAAATTAGCTTCACAGCTGCGGGAGATTAAAAATCCCCAGGCTTTCAAGCAGGAGGTACGAAAGTTTGTGTGCCTGGATAACATAAGACGCCTTTTCAACATCTGTGATTCTGATGACAACCTTTTTGAGACCGGCCCCGATGGGGCATAGATCACATTTTGGTCAGCTCTGGTGCAACGTTGTATTGCGCTCAACTAGGCTTCATGACAGGAGCATCTTGAGCTCACAGGTCCTCCCCATACTTTGCGGTCCCTGTCACACTTCTTAAGAGATCTTGGCCCGATCAGTTGCACGCATCTTACAGATGTTAGGACTGCTAATCCGACCACAAAAGGTATTCAGCCTACCCCAGTAGTAGCTGAGCGCTTTACTGGCTCCCACCGACAATTAGTCAAATAGGAAGTCATGAAATAGTAGACGCTACCGCAAAGGCAACCTGGAAACACTAATCGGTTGCTCAAATCCTTTGAAAGCTCCTTCTCGACGTCCAGTTTCTTACTGCTCAACCGATCAGCACGTAAAGCAGCCTTGTAGTATTGCATGGGAGCATCGTAAGCCTGTAGGCACTGACCAGGTAGGATATTGCATAGCAATGGGGAAGCAATCCGAACGGACAAACTTTACTTCACTTCTTCCTTCTCTTCTACACTTTGGTTCCTTCGTCTCCATCTTTACCCTTTAGTATTTTCCAAATACCTAGTCCACTTGGTCTCTTGCGAATACTTATACTTTTCCGGAGGATAATCCACACATCACAGACGTCATCTGTCTCAAAGCGTTCCATTGATTCCCCTCTTTGATGGCGAACACAACGAACAAAAACACACACAGTCACATTTAACTACTCACACAACACGTCCCCTTAAAATACACAGTTATACATAGTTTTACATCTCAATACACGCATAAATTCCTATGCTATTGGTCAAAATGTACTACTTTGTGCAATTGCCGAGCATACATGTCGGTAATATCATGATCACGCCCTTGAGGGTGTGCCTCGCAGTGACGAGAATAAATTATTTATTTATTTATTTATTTATGAGTCACGTCTACTAAAAACATTTTAACAACATTAAGCCTCATGTGAAATGCCAAGTTCTAGCGTTGTTGTCCACACATATGGTGCACCCGTAAGTTATCATTTATCTGTCTAAAATAGTCGGATAAATTGCCTGCTTTATAGGTATTTCTACTAGCCTACGTAATCGGCATCTACTAGTTGCCCATAACCGATGCCCTCCAACTCACAGTCTGTGTG